CTTGAAGACGTTTCACCTCTCATCCGAGAAGCTTCTTCAGTTCTAAGGTCAAATGGTGGAGAGTCCCAGATATAAACCTAGTGGGAGTTTCCCCCCACAGAGGGAATTTTTTATCCAATAAAAAGAGGTTTCAATCAATTTTTGTAATGTAGAGAATATCCATGTCCAATTGTAATTTACTGTAAACATTAGGATGAGGGTTTTGGGTTATGGCCCCCAGGGTAAGATTAGAATTAGGATGGGGGAGGGGGTATGGTTAGGGTTAGGGGGTTTAGATGGGGGAGCTGCACAGACCACACCTGTTCCCATCCCGGGCCCCCACGTCACTCACGGATTGCTCTCCAGGAGGGAAGTGTCCTCTCTTATCCCAAATAAAGGGGTTTGAAAGTGGGCTTAGAGAACCCAGAGGTTAAGTTTAGGGCCGGAAGATAGGGGATGAAGTTAGGGCCCAATGTTCAATCAGGGCTCTAGGCGGTTAGGTTTAGGTTCCCTGCATGGGGTTAAAAGAGGTTAAGGTTAGGGAAGGCTTCAGGGCCAGGAGTTTATAATGGGATGGCCATAAAAGGGCCTATACAAATAAAAAATGAAGAAACAAGGAGAAAAGTAAAGAGGAGGGGAAAATTCCCTTAAATGGAGTTACAGCACCCTCTAGTGGGTTATATTGGGGTCAAACTCTCACAAAATGGCATCTGAAGCCTCCCTCAAGCACAGAAGTACATAAAATCAGTCACTCAAATTGGTTTCAAGGAGATGCTCCATTAACATGATCATTCCAATGATCCAACATGTGCTCTGCAGTCTTGTCCGTCCAGCGAAGATTGTCCGATTCTGTGCTGAACTTATCAGCAGGTAGAGCAGGCATGTGCTCCTTTAAACCTGCAATAAAATTGTTTATGTGTAATAATTTGTCTTGTTCTGTTTTGGGAAGGGCAGAAGAAAAGTTAATCACTGGAATATAAATGTCAGCTTGGGGGAATTTTTCTTGTGCCAACCTCAGCGTTCTTCTCAGCTCCCTTATTGGTACATTTTTATCCCTCTGACACCTGTTATTCAGGCTGAAGGAGAGAACCAGCTTCTCCACCGATGTGTCACTGTCTGCTTTATCCACAAGGATCTCTGCATGGCCCCATTCTGTCAATTTGGACTCCATCCGCAACATAAGGAGGAATCAAGCCCACATTGGTGTCTCCAATGATCATCGATGCTTCCTTTGTGTGCAGTCTCCACTCTCTGAGCTTTTTCTTTGTGCTTGGATGTCTCGTCGGGGTGCATACCTGTTGTTCAACTGAAGCTGTGTTGGTCTTCTTGGGGGTGGATTCCCCCTGTATGAGGTCCATCGCCTCCATGTTCTGTTGTAGCTGAATGGCGGGAGAAGATTTCCCCTCAGAAGAAGCCCCATGAAGTGCTGTAGGGATTCTCCTCACCCTCTGGTCTCTCGGTGCCACTTGATTGGGCCCTGGTTCCTGTAGATGCACAGGAGGAGTGGCAGGTCTCAGATCGCCGTCTCTTCCCTCCTCCGTCTTACTGGAGAGTGACAGTTCACCTCCAATCGGGTCAGACGTTGTAGAAGTCGTAGTTTTGGGTGCGGTGTTAGCTGTGGGTGGAGCATGAAAGGAACGATGGAAGGAAGACATAATAATAATCCATTTTATTTGAAAGCGCCTTTCAGAACACTCAAGGACACTGTACACGGCAGAATAATAAAAACAGAATAATGTATTCATATAATGAATACATATCCATCTGCTGGTGTTTTTCTGTTATGAGTAATGTGCAGTTTACATCATATACAAAAAACACCAATAGAGAATAGGCAAAAGGCAACCGATCCAAGCTCAGTAAAGTGAAAGGTGATCAATGTACTACAAAAAGAGAAGAAAGTGATTTTTGAGCACCTTTCATGTCTATACCAGTTGGTGGCGCTAATGCACCACTTTGTGGTTTGCCAGCCACCAAAATTCAAGAAGAAGAAGTAATCACGTGATTATGTTTTTTTAATCTGCCTTTCCAGATCCCGAGGGTTATGTTTTTGTTTTAAAGTCGTTCAAAGGTTTGTCCTTTCGTTTGAGATTTTAATGTGTATTTCCAATTTGCCTGTCTAGTTATTTTTATTATTTGTTTTTAGTTTAATGAGGAGATGTTAACTCGCGCATTTATATTATCTGGGAAACCGCTGTGTGCTTTATTTGACATAAAAGAATGTGAAGTTTCGACGACGTACTGAGTCCTCTGTGTGAACAACTATCATTACAGTCATCTCCCTGCAGTCGTCGAGCAGTCTCGATACCTCGATAGCTGCCATGGCCGATGTAAGTATGAGACGTCTGTCATTCTTCTTGAGTTCCCGTCTCCAAAATGGAGAAGCAGGAAAAAACGTATTGCTGATAATTCCTATTAAAAAAGGGACACGTGAAGTAGTGTTCGAGATTAAAGGCGCTCTCAAAAGTAAGCACTTATTTACTTGTTTATTTTATTTTGATCTCTTTATTCTTGGGGGTGTCGGAGATTAATGAAGCGGCTTCATGTGCTCTTATCATGATGTCGAGGCGACCACTGCGGAGTGTATTTCGGTTTGTTGCGCTGCCTCCGGAGCTGGGTGGAAAGCATAAGTGTACG